TCTCTCTCTCTCTCTCCCTCTCTCCCTCTCTCCCCTTCTCCCTCTCTTTCTCCCCCCTCTCCCTCTCTCTCTTCCTCGCTCCCCTTCTCTCTTTTATTCTCTCTCCTCTCTTTCTATCTTTTTATTCTTCTTGTGTTCTCTCTTTTTGCGTAAGAAAACCACGGAGGTCTTATTGGCACACACGATATGAACCTCCTCTCACTTCAGATCCTTTGTCATTTAGTCTCGAACATGTTGCAAGAGAACAAAATAGAATAAACACGTATATTTATTCACAATTCAGTTATGTTACATTTGGAATGTGTCGAAGTATGCCATAGAATCATAAGTTTGGAATGCACAGAAGTCATTTAAAAAAGAAATAATTAACGTTCCGTACTTTTACTTCGTATACATAATATTTAATATATACATGTATATACACATTACAGACCACTTAAGGGCAGCTTCCATAGCCTTTTCAACATGATGATATATACATATAAATATACAAATAAAGAACAATATATGCTAGGAATTTTGTCATAAATTTTACCGTTACAGAAGTCTTGCATATCATATGTTTTATAATATAGGTACAAGTATGTGAATAATTAGTATAAAAACATCTTTTTAAAGAGGAACAAAATAATAATATATAAAATATGAGACTAATTTTTACCTGCAAGTTTTGGAATGTGCGCGGAATCACATCAGATCCATAGCATGTGTCTCTGCATAATTTGGAGGTCTGAGCAACGTTTTTGTGGACAAAGTAAGTGGTAACAAATTTACACGTAGTAACAGGATGTACATGGGTCATTCAGGCTTCGTAATTTGTGCTGAGTACTTCGAGACGAGCGAGTGGGTGGTTGGCGGGTGCTCTAGTGTGGTTTGCTCCTTCTTTCCTATCAAACATCTCTAATCTCTGGCAGTTATATTATGGCCTTATTGTATCGCAACAGCCGTAAGACTTGTATTATAAAAAAATGAAACAAAAACAAAACCAAGAAAGAAAATCTTCAAGACGGTAATTAGCTTCGTGTAGAACGGCTAGGAACAGAAGTCGGACTGAAAATTAGTAACATCATGTGTGCCACTCTCGAGCGCCGCCAACCACCCACTCTGGGGTGTGTTGACATTTAAAAAAAAAAGAAATTAATTCTGATAGTATATTCAAGCACTATGTGAACAGTACATGTATTTGAAAGGCTATCTACTTTTTTGGAGAAAAAAAAATAGTACAATCCCTGGCACACTAGTGTGCTGGCACAACCGCACACCATGCGCACGTACACACACATACACACACACGCACACACACACACACACACACACACACACACACACACACACACACACGTGTGCGCGCTGACCTGATACTGCAAAGACCTATTGTGGGTGTGTGGAAGCAAACACTTTGAGCTGGATACATACCGTGTATTACCTAATACCCTTACTTCCTTTTTTTCGCTATTGGCAGTACATGTAGTTGAATCAATCCAGGTCGCCAGTTTCGACCCATGACGTCAGATTTAGCGATTTCTAGCACTGGCTGTTTCCTGGTATCAGATTTATGTCAGTATCATCTGATGAAAACTGCAATGTGTATAAGATACAGAACTTTTTTTTTCCTTCCGAGTTCTTTGTTGGAATGACTGACTCTTACCACGGAACATAAACCACTGACGCTTTCAACTGGACTATGGCGATGAACTTGAATATTTTTATGTGCGTCATATTTGAACAAGTGCACACGAGTCGAAAGAAAACAATCATTAAAATAGAATAAGATATACCTTGTTCTGGCTGTAACTATTAATTAACAAAAAAACTACAAGCTAAACATGTCTGATTTCACTGATTACGTATGTATGTAGTGGTCACGTAGGCTCACAGAACTTGAACGCGACCATGTTACTTAAATTTGTGATGTATGTTCAACTGTATCACTGTCATTCGAAGTGCAGTACCAGATACACATCAGGTACATGTGTGTTTGTTGTTGCTAAATCTATGCCGTGACATACGTGTGTGTTGTATTATGTGTGTGTGTGTGTGTGTGTGTGTGTGTGTGTGTGTGTGTGTGCGTGTGCGTGTGTGCGTGTGTGCGTGCGCGCGTGCGTGCTGTATCGCAGGTGATTCTGTTGAGATCTTAAAGTAGCTCAGCCGATCGCCAACAAAGGAATAAACATGATATTGATTATGTTGATATTTGGCAGATCTAGTTTTCCTAGGAAGCAATACGTGTGAGAGAGAGGTGGGCATAATAACGACAATATTAGTATTTGATTATAGGTTATTATAGTATACGAGCGTATTAAGTGAGTTCATAATGTGGAAGCAACATGACTCATATCTGTCGTCCTCGTAGCCATGTCAAATGGAAGAAATGTAATTATGTAATACTTTTGGTGAACAATCATTGTCTATCAGCTTTCTCTATATTTTTCATTTTTCCTGCTTTCTGGATATTCATATGTCTGGTGATTAAAACAGTGTTGTATTTTTTTTGTGTGATCTAAAGTATGGGTTTGCTCTATCATAGATCGAATCCTTTCTTTCTGCGTTTTGTTTTGTTTTCTGAAGGAGAGCTCTTCTCTTCATAGGATCTTTGAGAGTGATGTCATGTGTCATGTCACAACCAATGACACAGCCCATAGCATTAGGAGTCATTCTAATAAAAGTGGATGCATGTATCTGTTGGAAGAAAGACTTGTTCTTTGATAACACAAATGTTTCCCTTGCACAGCGAGTCACTTTCTTTATGTTCACCTTCCTTTCTCGTCAGCCACGTCTAGACACTTTGCAACTAACAGATTGTCGTATTTAACTCCACCCACTGCTTGCCTCTTCTACAGGCCACACATATCCTCCTGAAGCTCAGTTTTTTTAAGGTTCTCTTTCTGATACAATTTGATTCCATTTCGCGTTTTTTTTTTCAGGCATTGAATTCCTCAGAAAGAAATGTTCATCTCATAGAATCAACTTTGTGACCACATTCAATTTCTATCTCGCACAACATTCTATGAAAACCATTCTTTAGTCGACTGAAAGTGTTTTACAGTCACCACTGACACAGAACAGCGGCCAGCTGTCATTTGTCAACAGTGTATTTCTGACAACTGTCATTTTCTCACCAAAACTATTTTTTACTCAGTTCTGTCATCATAATATTTTGCCTCCAGTTGTCCCTTTTCCACCCACACAACTTCCGCCAACACAACTTCCGCCAACGGTATTTTAACACCTGGTGGAAATAAGTACTTCACCAAAGTATCGTGTGCCGTCTGTCACTCCGTCCTCACAAGTTGACTTCTCTCTCGTGTATCTGGTCATACTTGTCCCCTTGGTAACCCTCGTTGTAGTAAGCACCGTAGGAGGGCGGGCGGGAGTTGCCCGCAGAGCTAGGCGTGGGAGGCAGGGGGCCGTGGTCGTTCTCGTATATCGATTGGAAGGACTGGTCCGAATCCTTCCCGTCCTCTTTGGCGACCCCCAACACCTCCAGCATGTTGCTGCTGCCGCTCATGTCCTTGTAGCCGTCGTTGGAGAGGAGGCGGTGCGCGCGCCCGACGTTCCCGCTCCCCGTCATGCCGTCGCTGATGGCCAACACCTGCATGCTACCACCCTGCTCCTCATCTCCGCGCCGACCCCCTCCTTGAGCCCGACCCTCAGCCTGACCGGGAGGTTTCTTGGGCCGTGTGAAGGTACGGGTCTCCGTGGTCGCCATGCCGGGGAGCTCGGACTTGGCGAAGGCGCGGGGCTGCACGTGTGCCGGGGCCGCCGAGGAGGCCGGGCCGCCCTGCAGCTTCTTGTCTCGTCGACGTCGAATCACGGCCAGGTACAGGATGGCGCCCAGGAGCACCAGCAGCAGCACGGCGCCCACCACGGCGCCCACGATGATGCCAATTTCTTCCTCGGATATGCCGTCCGTTTGCTTGTCGGGGTCCTGGCCGCCGCCCAGAGTGCGGGCTGTGCCACAGTCCGGGCTGACGCTCGCGCTGTACACCGCGAACACACAGTAGCTGTGGAGACAGATGATTGGATTAATTACAAGATAGATACTATACCCTCGAAATTGTCCAAGACGGCCACCCATTGTTGAGGAGAAAAGTGACTGTCTTAGAAAGGTAGACGTTTTATGCAGTATCATTAAAATGAAAAAAAAATTCTGAAGTCAAGTGGCTGTTTGTCGTTTGAACAGCTGATTGTCGTGTACAGGTGGCCATTAGAGTAAGGTTGAATGGAATTATTAAGACGAGTTTAAGAAATCGTGGCGTTTTTGTTTCAGCCAAGGACTAATGAGTATTATAGTAGTCCTTGGTTTCAGCATAACTGCCCCCCCCCCTTTCTTTTCCTGCGTTGCAAGAGGGATGTGAATGGATTAGGACAGGTGTACTCACTGTAGTTGAGAATGATGTTCAACAGTTGTAATTATGAAATACATGAAGCAACCATGAACGTCAGCTGTAATCAGATGTACTTAAGCAATGTACTCTGCGATATGTCGCCACTGTCATCTGTGCGCCCCCCCCCCTCCCCATCCCATTCTGTAATCGAGGGACTGTGTGCGACTCCATCGAAGTAAACTATTTTTGTCAGGGTTTGTAGCATAATCTTTTCTTACGCTCTTAACTTTACCCGCAAAAGCGGTGCATTCGATTCCCGTGTGTGGAAGATGTGTTATTAAGTCTCCGGCGTATTACTGCTTGTATGTACATGTATTACCCTGTTCTATCGGGATTAGCCTTGGCACGCACGGTTGAAGCGGCCTGTCTCCACTGACATACTATCTCCAAACTCGCTTTCTTTCTGCATGTCAGAGCTCTATTTCATGCTTTATTTGCCTTTGTAGTAATTTCCCATAATTTAGTGTTTATTGTGTTACTGGCACTGCTGATGTAAGGGTTTGGCCTTTCGCTGTAACACGCAGGAGATGCAAGTTCAATGCTCTCTTGGGGAAGTTATTATATCGACTGTTTACATCTGTCTGGCCAGAAACTGTACCCCACACTATCTGATTTGCCCCTTACGAGAAGGTCGGAGCTACCCGCCTTCTAGGTTATGACAAAAATGTGTCGATGTGGGCGTGAATCATAAAAAACCAATCGTTTGTTGCTTTTATGAGTCTCTATTTGGAAGTTGTCGTTCACCTTTCTTATATTAACATACAATTGTGGGTGGTTGGTGGGTGTTCTGGTGTAATTAGCTGGTAGAACCTTCCTACCTACGTAATATCTATTATCCTTATTCTCCTCCTTTTTGTGTTTGTTACTCTTTTGTAACACCTCAGATCTTTGACAGTTATTTGACCTTATCGTGTTGCAAGTGCCGTGAAACACTTACTAAGACATAAAACATAACATACTAATGGAAAGTATTTTCATAAGGAGTATACACTTTCTTTTTTTTTTGACATGGTCATATATTATGATCATCGTTTTAGCTTTAGCTTTTATAAAGAGCATTGCCAACAGCCAGACTGAATTACTTTGTCGCTGTCCTTTGTTAGTACAACTTCGTTCCTTTCCCTCTGTTATTTATGCCCTATTTTGGACTCTTCCTTGCACTAAATGGCCGTGAGTGGGTGGTTGGTGGGTGCTCTAGTGTGGTTTGGTCCTTCTTTCCCATCAATCATCTATCGTCCTTATCTTTCTTTTTCTTTTGTTTGTATATTACTATCTGGTAGCACCTCTAATCTTCGGCACTTAAGTGACCTAATTTTGTTGCAAGTGGCGTAAAGCTTTTACGGAAACTAAAAACCGTGATTGTGTCAAAGTGCTTTTAATTCTATTTACTTAAAAACTAAAAACCCGCACAAAATGGACTTACCTATAGTAGCCGCCTGGAATGAGTCCCGTAGCCACAGCTGAGGTAGTAGTGGTTGCCAGGTTGTCTCTCCGAAACACGACATTGTCCCCCTCGTCTCTGACCTCCACCTTGAAGTGGCTCAGGCCAGTCGTTATAGAAATACTCCAGGAGATGCTGATGGACTGCTCCTCGATCCGGGTGGCATCCACCCTCAGGGGGTCTGACTCCGGTGTCGTGTCTCCCGGGCTGATAGTGCTGCTGACGTAGTAGTCCTCGCATGGGCTCTCCATGAAGCTGTTGTTACACGTGAGTGCGGCTTCGGATTTGTCCAACAACTGGGAGTTGTCCGGAGAGCACGTCGGCTCTGCTCCAGAGTTGAAGGTCACTTTATTGTCCCGAACAGCCGCGAGTATCCAGCGGAGGCGGCAGTCGCAGATGAGTGGGTTGCCGTTGAGGCTCATTTCCAGCGGTGGGGACGGGAGCTCGTACTGATGCAGGAGGCAGTGGGGAAGCGTGGTCAACAAGTTTCCGGACAGGTATAGCGAGCGCAGAGATCGCATCGGCCCTAGCAGGCTCTCTTGTGTCAGAGCCGTCAGTCTGTTATCGTCCAGATGCAGTTCCTGGAGGAGAGACAGCTGCTCCAGCACCCGGTCTGGTATTTGGGCGAGTCCTGCTGTGGCTAGATTCAGAACTCGGAGATTGGTTAGCTGCGATACGACCTGCCACAGGCTCGTGGCGTCGAGTACTTGTCCAGATATATACAGTTCTTGGAGAGAACTTTTCGCCTGGGCGAGAGACGTGGGAACGACGAACCGGGACACACCTCGCTGGTTATCCAATCTCAAGACCTGCAACTGGGTCACCCCAGTGAAAGCGTTGGCGTGAATGACGCTTATCCTATTGCCAGTCAAGTCCAGCGAGCGTAGGGTCGACGCAACTCCAGCAAGTTCTGTCTCTCGGACTTCGAAAATGTCACAGTTGTCCAAATATAGATCCAGGCCGTCCGTGGAGCCCAGCTGGGAGAGGTTGGGTAAGGAGGTCAGGTCTGGATTTCTGGACATGTCCAAGTGTGTTAGCGATGCGATGTCCCGTAGTCCCTGCACTCTGCTGCTTGTGATGACGTTGTTGGACACAGTCAGTTTTTTTAGAGTGTCGCCCACGCCACGAAAACTGTATTCCTCTATGTCGCCTATCTCATTCCCAGAAAGGTCAATCTCTTCAATTTTGTTCATCTTCTCAAAAACTTCATAGGTCACAGCGCTGATCCTCGTGCCCGTTATGAACAACTTCTTTAGATGTTTTATGTGTGTTGACCGTAGAGCGTCTATTGGCATCTCAACGAGAGGTTGGTTCAGAATATTCAAGGTTTCCAGCTTCGTTGGCCCGTTGAAAGCTTCGGGTTCTATGGAGGTGATCCCGCAGTTATCCAGAGTCAGTGTGGACAGCAGAGAAAACGCCAGGAAGAAGCTGTGCTCCTGGTTATCACCCAGCATATTCACGGAGTATTTCTTAAGAGTCAGGGACTCCAAGTAGGGTAGTTTGAGAAAGGCAGATTTGGGTGGGCTGACCCGTCCGTCTCCTTGCAGGATTAGAGTTTGAGTGTAGTTTTGAAGCTCCAAGAAGGCATCGGGCGATACGTCGCCGATGTTGTTTCCGCTAAGATCCAGACTCCGAATCCGTAGTCCTGCGAAAGCACTAGCCTGCAAGGAAGTTATACGGTTGTCGTTGAGGCGATACTCTGCTATTGTAAAGTCGAAGCTCTGTGGGTCGGGAACGGACAGCAGGTTGCGATTGGAACAGTCCAGCACCGGATCCAAGGTCTCTACTCCGTTTATAAACTGGCTGGAACAGTTGCACTGGGTGAAAGACTCGAGAAGCTGTGAGCATTTTAAGGTCTGCGCTGCCTCCACGTGTTCGTACGAGGTGAAGAAGAGACACAACAGCTTTAAGAAAACCAACAGAGTTGTGGACGGTTGCCGGGATGCCATCTTGTTTTGCAAGAGCTGTGGTACGGGGAAAAAATATTAGTGTTGGGCCGTAGGTCCCTGTAGTTGGATGTTTAATAAATAATTTATGAATTCGGCCACACTATATATTATAATGTCAAGTAGCACCAAGTAACAGTGGCTATAAGGTGGGCGTTTTCTGAGCAAGACGTTATGACACAGCATGAAAAGAGAGGGTGTTGTTTGCTACCGACAGAAGAGCGTGTTTGTTTACATCGTGTTGTGCATGTGTCATTTTCTTTATTTGTACTTTGTATAGGTTTTTAATCTGTGTAAGAGCGCTTTTCGTTTAAAGTTTGTTTTCTTTTAATTCGAAGACTATAAGACTAATTTTATTGTCCTTCTGCTGAAATTTGTTTCAGCGTTACTAAGCTAAGTACCCCCCCCCCCCCCCCCCCCCACACACACACTCCCCTACTGTATCCGTTGTCTAAAGAACAAGGAACAATGTTTTAACCCATTGAGGACGGACATTTCGCTCTTTCTACAACGCTTGGAGTTGAAGGCGCGTTGGGCTATGTAATGGGCGTTTTTCAAACAGATGAATAACTTTAAAAAAAATTCAAACTTAGTATTCTTTCAATTCCGCTTATTTTGTAGTAAACTTATCAAGGGAGGTGACACTAGCTTGATTAAAATGCAAGTTCACGTTTTTGATTTATGTATGATGGTTCAAAATGTGGCACAGCATTACCTTTGATCTGCTGCTGATCGTGACCTATGTCCGCTACGTCCTTAAGTATTCAGGAATGCAAAAATACCCCCCCCCCTCTCTCTCTCTCTCTCCCTCTCTCTCTCTCTCTCTGTCTCTCTCTCTATCTCTCTGTCTCTCTGTCTCTCTCTCTATCTCTCTTATCTTATTCACACACGCGCGCGCACACACACACACACACACACACACACGTGTGTGTGTGTATATATATATATATATTATATATATATATATATATATATTATATATATATATATATATATATATATATACAATACCGGTACAATAATATATTTAACACAATATAGCTGGTTGGAGAGAACAACTGGTTCTTCTGTCTCACTCTTGCCCCGGTCTGTCCATCTTACTTTTTCCTTAATTAAATGGTCTATATGATATTGTGTCGGTGTCTTTCGCTTTAGTTAAACAAACATACAAAATGAATGATGAAAACACACACATACAACCCCCCCCCCCTCTCTCTCTCTCTCTCTCTCCCACACACACACACACACACACACACACACACACACACACACACACACACACACACACACACACACACACACACACGCATATACACACACATACATCTGTCTTCTTCTAGCGAAAACACACACGCGCGCACGCACACACACACACACGCGCGCACGCACACACACACACACACACACACACACACACACACACACACACACGTGTGTGTGTGTGTGTGTGTGCACACTAGATCTATACATGTATATACCGACAGTTATAGTATCAAGAGAAAAGAAAGTTCTTTACCTGTCACAAGTAAATCCGGTCTTTCTCACTTGTGCGCTGTTGTCAGTGTTACCTCTCTGGGAGCAGGTGACAAACCGACAAAATTCGAATCCCCTTAACCAACAGTTATGGTTGTAGATCTAGAACCATATGTTGGGATATAATGTAGAGAGGATAAGTGTCAGGATAAAATCGAAAAAGTTTTGTGACTGGTGACTTCTTCACTTTCCTCCAAATGCTATGTCTATTCAAAGCTCCCCAGTCATGGGTGTCTTCAGAATACAGGTGTGTGCTGAAGTCTTGGGCTCTCTATAAAATTCCGTCGTCCTTCAGGACTTGACCTGAATTCTTTTCTGTCTATTCAGGTGCCAAATATGGAGAACGTAAATATTATATATCTTCCTGAAGGAAAGCATTACGTTGTCTTTTTAGGAAAGTATTCGCCGAATTCGCTGTGTCTGGTAGACCAATTTTGTAAATTCTAAATTGTTTGTCCCTCCGTGTTAGGTTTAAATGTATGTTCACAAGTACGGAAAAGATGTTTTGCCTCTTGCTTCCGTTTCCTTTATCCTTTTTTTATTTAGATCTATGTCACTTTTGATGTTATCTGTTTCCGTTCTCGCGGGAATAGAAGAAAAACACGTCAACACAGCCAGCTGCTGTCACTAGTCAATTTCTCCTCCTTCCAATTGTTGTAAAGCTCCAAAGTTGCGGAAAAAAAATCCCTCTTGTTTGGATCTTGAGGTAAACTGTCAGCTATTTCCTGTTCTTAGGTCTTGTCGGTCGACCCATTTTGTGTCGTTTGCCAGGTCTCTCTCGCGTGTCCTCCTTGTCCCCCACACACCGACGGAACGCATCGGAGCCCCACCTAAGAATAGCCTCGTCGTGTCGCGCAAGGCAAAGCCCAAGCAGACAGAAGCCTTGCGTGCCTAGCTGGCCTCGTGTACAGAGGAGTTGAGTTAAGAAAAGGAAAACCGAACAAAAATAAAAACTCCACTCTCTGAGTCATACACCTGGGTTCGCCCGGACGCTAAGAATACCTACGACATACCTGTGTTTTCACCTGCCCCCCACTGCGGGATACCAAACAAAGTTTCTGATTGGCTGACACCGCCCACTGCGTCTTTTCTGATTGGCTGAGAGCAGAGTCGGGAGCGGAGTGTCTCCGTGTCGCAGGGCTGTCCATACACAAGCAACTGGTTGTGATCCCTCCATCTGCCACCCTCTCCCGTGTCTGCAGCCTTCAATAATTATTTCAATAATACACGAGAACACTTCCACACCGTGGGCCGTGGGCACATGCGCACACACACACACACACACACACACACACACACACACACCCTCCACCCGTCTCTCTGTCTGTCTCTGTCTGTCTCTCTCTGTCTGTCTCTCTCTCTCTCTCTCTCTCTCTCTCTCTCTCCCTCTCTCTCCCTCTCTCTCCCTCTCTCTCCCTCTCTCTCTCTCCACACACGCATACACGCACACACGTACACACGCGCACACACGTACGCTCGCTTTGACATGTTATCGACCAGGCCGTGTTTACGCTCTGCGTCTTTTCAGTCAGCGTGAAGGGAGAGGCCCCTTTGAATAGGGCTCTGACCTGTGCCTCGTACAAATTGTTTGGAAGCCCGACATAGCACACACTCCCCCCCCCCATCTCTCTCTCTCTCTCTCTCTCTCTCTCTCTCTCTCTCTCTCTCTCTCTCTCTCTCTCTCTCTCTCTCTCTCTCTCTCTCTCTCTCTTGGCAAGCTTTGCGCTTAACAGTGTTTGTTTTCTTTTGATATTAACCGTAATACCATTAATTTACTTTCGCCGATATGTCTCGGATAAAAGACTGTCAGCTCGATTGAGCAGTTCTGTGTACCGGTATTTAGGTTGTTGTTGCTTTCTTTTAATTGTCCACGTTATAATAATGGTTTGTTTCCCTCTACTTGAGACGTGTAGGCTTGCTTTAGAAAAGTAACCGGGTTCTTTCTTCTGTATTAAATAAGTAGCGCCTTTGTGAAATTATGGTCTTTGTGGGGGAGAGCCTCAACACGGACGCTATGTGGAACTGAAACGCCACGGCAAGACATCGCAATTCTTATTGCATTTCGAATGATTCACGCCCACCCCCGCTCTTTAGTCTTGTCTCCAGATTTTATTTGTTTTTGCCCCCTCTGCTTTTAATAACTTCCTTCTAGCACTGGCCGTAGGTGGCTGTAAGGCGTTAGTGGTAGGTTTTGTCACTGAGCCCCCCCCCCCCCTCCCCCAGGTTTTGTCACTGAGGAGGGACCCCCCACCATCCACCATCCTTTCCTTCCTTTCTCTTTTTTTTTTATCTGCCTGCCTGTCATCCTCCCCCCCCCCCCCCCTCACACACTTCCTGTCCAAAATGGGGCCAGTATTGTGTCGATGTACTTCTCTTTAACTCAAAGAAACTAATTGATCGATCATTTCGGATGAAATGGGGATAGTAGAAGAAAGAAAATAGGCAATGCAGTTCAGGAAATATCACCCTTGTTTTACCTGAGCATATACATTATTATGTATGTTCTGTATGGTTTTCCTCCACCCATAACGGTGTTTCTCCTCCTGGTAGTGTGCATTAGGCCTATTTATTTCGACGCCTACAACTGAAACATACCTACAAACTCGTCCATCAATCTATCTATCTATCTATCTATCTATCTATCTATCTATCTATCTATCTATCTATCCATCTATAGGGTGTTCGCCTCTCATTCAAAGGCCCCGGGTTCGAATCCGGGTAGCGACCGAAAAATGTTATTCTCTAAAATTGTCTCCTTTAACCCCTTTCCTACTCTCCAACAATGTTCTGTCGTCTGCTTTCGTCTCCACTTTCTGCCCCCTTGCCCCCTCCTCTGGGCTCCTGACTCTTTGTGCAGCCTTTCTACTGCTACTCCTTGGCTCCTCCTTACTGCTGTCTTTCTGCCGGCCACACCCCTGATCTTCTGGTAGGAAAGATCCACGTATAGCCTTCTCGGACAAGGGCGAAAAATCTCGGGAGGTCCTATGTGCAAGTTGCGCACGTGAAAGATCCCTTGGTGGTCTAAAATCGATAACAGTAGGCTTCGGCCGCCACACGGGCAAAATTCAAAATTTCGGGGTACGGAAGACTGGGCCAAAAATTTCAGTTTCGTTCACATTATGTAATAAGGCAATAAGCCGCCAACCCCTGTAGGAAAACTGAGCCAAATTGAATTGTTGGTATCGATTATAACGTTTTAATTCAAAGGATTGACCTAGATCCTAAATTGTCTTTATTTAAATACAAAACAAGCGTTACACTGAGCTGCTTAAGTACTCGTAGAATTTGAAAGTCAGTCTTACACATACGCGTAGTCTAACTTTGTTTTGAATCGCGAGGACTTTTTTCTCAACAACAACAACAAAAAAAAGACGCACCATGTAGCCAAGTAGAAAGGGATTTTATTTTAGACTTGCATCATTCAACAAGCATTCCGGTAGGTTGTTTTTGCCCTTTTATCATGATTTTAACAGATGTCACATGAGCCACTAAACAATATAGACATCATCCTGCTCTGAAATCCGACTTCCACCTCCTCGTGGTGCGCAGAGGGCAACACGTATCAAGACTGTTTATTATTCCATAATATAACGGCTAGGAAACAAGTCTCGATAAGTGGGGAACGGAAGAGGTACGATCGATTACCAAAAATGATAAAACCGATACCTAAATTTGGCTCAGTCCTCCAACTCCTCAAATGAACTTTCTTTGAAGTTTACACCAATAGGATTACATTTTTGACTCAGCCTTCTCGTTCCCAAAATTTCCTACCAACTGAAAATGTTTAATGTGTCCCGCGCGCTCATAATATGACCTTATGCAGTTGCTAGCGCCGTAAAACACTTACAAAGACACACACACACGCGCGCGCGCACACACATACACTCACGCACGTACGCACGCACCTACCTATATTATACACTTACTCACATAAACACTTGCAGCGAGTGGTTGGCGGGTGCTCTGGTGCAGTTTGCTCCTTCTGACCTGTCAAACACCTATCGTTCTGATCTCTCTTTTTTGTGTTCGTCACTCTCTTGTCCTGTAACACCTTTAATCTTCGACACTTGTAAGACCTTATTGCGCACCTACACACACTTTCACACACATAATATACACATATACACACACTGGTTTGTTGTATTTATTTACCTGAAATATATAAGGTTATGCTACACAATAAATGTTCGATCTCAACAGCAGCATCAAAGTTCGAAGCTGTGCCTACTTTTTAAAACTGAAATAGAAGATATACGGTTAGGTCAATATTTTCAAAACGCGCTGGTGTATTCGTGAAACCATTTTGACCTAATACTCATTTGACTTCAAACAGGCTTCTTGTCCAGTCAGTGCATATTTACTTTGTGGCCCCCAGCTGACGTGTAGGCTATTAGCCGGATGCGCCGCGGAGTAACTACCGATAATCCACCTTTTGGTGTAAGATCAAAGAGCAGAACTCCACAGAGTAGCTTCCCAAAAATCTTCCACAGAGTAGGTCTAGATCTGGTTGTTTTTGTTTTAAGATAATGTGGAATGGATCCTAATGAGGGAAGAAATGGAAGCCAAAGATTACTGAACTGAAGACAGTTTTAGCCCGATGGGAGGCCTTATTTTATAATGTTATGTTTTGATCGACATGAAGCATGAATGCTACATTATAAAACGTAATAAAGCAACAAATCACTATCAGGTGCACGTTGTGGTTTGAGTTAATGTGTGTTAACTACGCACTAAAGGAAGTTAAAAGAGAATCTAGTGGGGTAATGAGTTCTCGGGACATTTTTTTATATCCATCAATTGTTTTTGCACTGATGTGTGTAGGTAGGCGGGTCCACATAAATTCAAATAAATAGCCCAGAAAAAAAACCCCAAAGCAACAAAACAACTGTTTCTAGTCCTAGACCTGTTTAAAGAATGCTTTCAAATACATAATACGATTCTTGTGCGTATACTCTAGACCTGTGTACCAGACCATCAATGATTTATTTATAGAGGCACCAGCCATCCATGTCCAGGTGCTGTTTTAGCCTAGACCTGTGTAAAGAATCCTTTCAAATACATATTAAGAATCGTGTACATGTACTCAGGTTCTGAAATTTGAATTTTGTTACAACCAGAACATAGCTACTTTTTAGTTACTTTTGGTAGCTACTCCGAGGTGTTGGCAAAGCTGTACCTGGTGGGAGGGGGGGGGGGGTTATTGAGTAACTGTAGCCACTATGTGATGCTCGACATATTTATTTTCCATATTTATTAACCACACTTAACCAAGATTAAAAGTGAAAAAAGCGG